GCAGTAGCAGACGAAATGTTGCCTAGCAAGCCGCCCCAGCTCCGCACGGGTGCAATGCTGATACTACATATAAATTAATCCGCCAAGACTTAAGGGCATGAAGAAACAGTGATGAAAAGATTATTTTCTTCATGGACGCGCCTTTATTCTCCGCGGCTGACATCCCACTTGGAATATTTAAAAATGTTAGCTTCCTTGGACTCACCAGTACGGTGAGTCCTAGGAAGTGACTGAGTGTTTAGTCGCAATAATCAAGCACCAGCATTACCCAGATTGTAACATCAAATATACCGGTCGTGAATAAAATGTTGCATGTATTTCGGGTCCATAAAAGCCTATTTCATGCCCTTGATACATAAATATCTATAATTGAAAGGTAACATGACAATGGCAGAATTCAACATCTGCACTCATGTGCATGAATCAAAGCAGAAATTGCTCTTTCATCCAACCAGTTTTATAGACCACATGAAACTTCATTGAAAAGTGAAATTCAGGAGTTATTATTATATTTGTTGAAGATTCTGCAAGATGAATCAAATGAGAGAAAACCCACACCGATTCTAATATAAACACGAATTCGAACGACGCTGGATAAGCTTAAGAAACTTGGTCGAGGTTCTTCAGATGAGAAAACTCTAAAAAGTACATTGTCGGAATATTGAAATCAACCTCAAAATACACTTATTGTGGTCACTGTTTGTTCCGTTTTGGGATACTTCTCTGTCGATTCCGCAAAGTACAGTCCACTCAAGTTTGTGGCTACTATTTCATCATGTAAGACACATTGGAAGAAATCGAAAAATGGAAAATGAGAAAGAATTGCATAAAATCGTTGTTGATTCATGAATTTCCTGAGATTTAAGTGATACATCTGAAATGATTTTCTGCAACGAGAGGGTCAGCGAAAAAATGACTATTACTGTACGTTTTCCTCCAGAAGGAATTGATATGAATAACTACGCGACCATCAATATATCTTCTTGTCGTTTCAATCTTCAGGCACTGGTTGATCTCACTGAAAATACATACATGTATATTACACGGCTTACTGTCGAAACCCTTAGGCTCAATTCACACAGAACGGACGTCTGGCAGAGACGAGGCTTCAGTATGGCATGGACGTGGTGGAAGTGTGATGTATGCAACGCACACAGATGGGCGAGACAGTGGCGAAAAAGTTGGTTTTTTTGACTACAACACGGCTTTTTCAAGCAGTGATGAAAATGATGAAGATATGATGGATTTGGTATTTTATCAACAGTTTTCTGCCAAGCCGGGTCTTGGGCACTCCTATTACAATAATCAGCACGATTGAAATCAAATAAACATGTGTATTTGCAGTGTTCTTCGCAAAATTATATGTTGGAGTCAACATCATTGCGTATTTTCGAGGATTAACATGGGGAACCACGTGGCGAGGAACTGGCGTGCCCCTTCTTTTACGCCACGAGAGACGGGGCGAAGGCGGGAGGGCGACCGCCTGTGCCACGTCACTCCTGTCAACATTGGACTTTTTGCTTACATACCTAGTAGAGACGCGGAAGGGAAAAATGTTGGCACCTCGTCTCTGCCAGATATCCGTTCTGTGAATTGGGCCTTACACTTCTCCGTGGTATGAAGCTTGTCGGTCACTTGTCCGGCAAAGCACAGCACGGCGCTGTCCATCGCCTGATGGCGACGGATCACCCACGCATCACCCACTTGTCCAGCTACAACCAGCATACTGAAGGTGTTGTTTATTCGATTTCAAGGGAATTTCAGTTGATATCGAGCGATGACAGAAACATATCTATCACTAGTAGTTCTCACGAAGAAGTCGCCATTATAGTGGCTATATTATTGAAAATATTAACGAAAATAGTCACAAAAAAGATGTTGTGGGTCCATCCCATTTACCAAAAGAGGGTAAATCTGGAAAAGTTTCATCATCCTTTCAACGATCTGATAGAAGACGAAGAGACATTTTTTTCAGTATTTCCGAATGACTCCAAGGAAATTTTCAGAACTTCTGGATATTCTAGAGCCTGCCTTAACAAGCAACTCAATTTTTCCTCGTCAATATTCATAAGTACCATATGACACTGTGCCTTCAACTGATGGAATAGCAAAACAGAGAGACAGAAACTTCCCAGGCACGTTTGGACAAGTTGATGCTGGCAAGCGCTGGCCGGCGACGCGCTCACTTGGCTAGTCTGTCACAGCAAGCAGCAAGTACCGTTATTTGCCGGACAAGATCGGATAGCTGGAATCCTTTCCGGTGGCGGACGCTCTTGGCTGAGCCGTACCGGGCTAGTGAGCGCTTGCCAAATAAACTTCATACAAGAAGGTGGCATACATCTTTTTTCATGAACGGAAGAGCGACAATGATAGTTGAGTTTTCATTATGTTTATGATCTTGATGTACTACTCAGTGGGTTTTTTATAATACAGTGAGTTCTGCTTATTCAGTTTTTGTTATATACATCCAACCAGACTCAAGTTATAGAAGGTTTGTTAACGGTTTCTTCAAAAATAAATTGGAATCACATTGTCTTCTGTCATGAATTATAATTCGCACTCATTACTCTTTCAATGAAAATATTTTGATTGAGAGAAGTGTTCTCAAATTCCTTTCTCTAAAACTCTTATGTTGTTGAATAATTGTAGAACATTCTGAAATATTTCTTCAACAATTGTGTAATAAAACAACACAAATCAAATTGGGGAAATAAAAAAAGAATAATCCAAATGAAACACCATTGTTGTAGTAACCGACTATAATTATAGTTATTCATTTCATAAAATAATAGAAAATGCTCATTGAGTAACGTTACGTCGAAAAGAACCAGCGCATGAAATCCTAATATTTATTTGCCAATGTTGTTAATTACCTTTTTGTTTGCGAAAATAGAATTTGAAACAATTGATTGAGATCACTTAAGACCTTGAGTTTCGCAACACTAATGGAAACTCTTCGAACTACTACCCAAGTAGAACAACGCAGCAGTTTTTTCTGTTTGTCATCATGTGGCTTTCGTATATCAACTACACTTATAATGAAAAATTTCTAAATTTGCAAACTCATGAGCAAGTATACGAGTAGAAATGTAGGCTTTCACGGCTGGCGTCAATGTTTTGGTTGGTTTTCGGGTTGTCGTGATTTTCTTTGGTTACCATCTCGAAACGTTTCAACTGCAACTGCGGTAGTCATCTTCAGTGGCGTGGTCGAAGTACTCTTCTCGGCATATCAACGTTGACGTATCACCGGAAACCAACTAAAACATTAGTAAGTATGCTGAATAGGACATATTTCTTATAGTTTCAAGATTTTGCAGAAAAGTGAAACTCCATTTCTGAAGTATATTGGAAATGTACAGAGTGTGCGAAATTGGACACTTTTGAAGGGAAACTCCTGTTTTCAAACTGGATAGATGAAAACTGATGACTGTGTTTGAGGGTCAAATTTTATGAAAAATTTATTGGTGAAAACCGCATATCGATACTACTCGTATCGTCGTTTCTGAGTAACAGCAATAGTTTTTAGAAAACGTGCAATTTCAAAGAATTTTCGAAAGTTGCTGTAACTCTTTTTCTGTTAAAAATTTCTACGAAAACATTTCCAAAGTATTTTTTATGTACAATTCAATGTTGTGTAAAACTTGTTTTTTCAAATGAGATATCAATATTTATTGATAGAAAACTATTTTTATGAGACACCCTGTATATTCCTGCATATTACAATAGAGCTTATAAATACCTTTCCAAAACGGTAGCACACTTAATGTTTTTGCTAGAGTCATCTTTGAAATACAGAGCTTTTAGGTTTTTTTCATGTAGACTTTGAAATGTACTGCTTTCCACAGCAGTAATTGAGACGCATAGTTTCAATAAAATGGATAACAATTTATACTATATTTACTACTAAAAAATTAACGGTTTTTGCCGAATTAATTAGTAAATAGGGAAAAGAGAAGCAAAATTGTGCATCACTGTCGCTTCCAATTCAAATCTAAAATTGATCGGCAATTCAAAAATCAGATCTTCCAATCTTACCCAAAGGTTAAAGTCCATAGGCGTTAGGTTCAGTGACCTGGCCGGCCAAAGGTTGGGTCCTTGGTTGGCTATCCAATTATTACCAACATTTTCAACCAAAAAGTTGGTGACAAATGCAGCGTTATGAGGAAAAGCTCCATCTTGTTGAAAATATATTTTTGTGAACTTTATTAGCAGAAATTCATCAACAAGGGGTTCAATATTTTACCTCAAAATTCCTAAAAACAGTTCTGTACAAGTACAAGAATTGTAGCGGTTGAAAATGCCGGTTCTGCTCAAGTTAACTTAACTTAACGAAACTTAACGAAAAATCACGTACTAGGTTACAACTTTCCAGGACCCACTGGCAAAAAGCTGTGCGGCGTTCAAAATCTCCTGGTCTGATTTCAAAAATACTGTTCTGAGTATAAAAACTTCTCATAAAATCAAAGAAGTAACCAACTATAACAGCACAATAATTTTCAAATAGAATAGAAAAAGTATTTTATTCTACGAATTTTTCTGTTTCTATTCTTGACTTTTCAGTCTCAAATTATCAAACGTTGAATTAAAGGTATACAGTCACATTCATGTTTATGTTAATGTCAGCATCTCTGATCTCTCAGTTCTGAAATCATATTCATCGTCGTTTATTCAGAACATTGAAGAGAGGCGACTATATTTTCAATACACTTTTCGAGAGGATCAAAATTGTCGAAAAAATTTTGGCCCTGCTCCAATACTAAAAAGAGCCTATCTGATCTGTTGTGATTTTATAGTGAGTAATAATAAACTTGATCAAAAACATAAAATACATAAAATAAAATCAATACTTTTTTCTTTCGGCAAAGAAAAACAAGTATCGTTTCAGTGGTTACTTGTAGAGTTAGATGAAATTTAATAATCAATATCCAAAGTTAGGACTTAACCTAACCTAACCTAGAGGAACTCACTTCTCAATGCTTCATTTCATATTTTACTTACAGGATCTTTGAATAATAATGAAGATGAATGGAGACCTATTGAAAGAAATGAAGCTACCAGCAACGATCAAGATTTTCGAGAAGGCAGTCAGAATTCTTTCTACCCTTCATACTCACCATATGAAAATCAGCCGTTAGGACATTCTAGGCCCTTTTACTACAATAATCAGCAAGAAGCAGCCTATAGTCAGAGATCTCAGCCATATCAGAATTCTTTTGAATCACAAGGAAGGTGAGGGTTCAAATTTCTGAAACAACTTATTTTTATATATAGTTTCTGATTGAAGATTATTATTCAAATTCCTCTCAGTCCTTTGAAATATCAAAATTCATCATAGAAAAATGTTGATTACGAAAATATGAAAATAACAAACCATTTCATGAACAATTTCACAGTTGATTGGTTTGAAGTAAATTTTCATCTCTGAGTGTGGTAAAGGGTTATACTTATATATTTTTCTGATTTTTCAATGACATATTCATGGAGCTTAAAACCTTCTGTATCAAAAGTATTACATGATGAATTGGGATTCTTATGATATTTACATTGGAGTTGAAAGAAACTGACGTTCTGAAAATTCACTTATTGTTAATATAAAGGCCATGTGTTACTTTTATTCTGATCTGATATTAAAAACTATACGAGGTAATTTGGTGACGAGAGAAGTCATATCATTGTTTTTCGTTAAAAATGATGTCTTTTCACGTAAAGTTTTTCTGACTTTGTGCTGTTGAAAGGTTAAGTAGCGTTCGCATTTTACAAGCAATAATTTTTATTTTCCAAATACTAAGCACCTTACAAAATCATCAGTTTTCATCTGTAGCAATTTGTTCTCCTGAAAATAAACATTTTGATATTTCTACTGGAATTAACATTTCAGTAGAAATTAATTTGTAATTCAATCATTCTCATTTTTTATAATACCCGTAGAAAAAAAATCTTGCTTGTTCTCCAAACTTCCATAATAGTCAATGTTTCTAATTCGAAACGACCTTCGTCTAGTGTTTAAACGGATGGAATGATGAAAAAATTGAAGGCTGGTCCACCGTAACGAAGTTTTTCAGCGATGAAACACTTTTTTCCAACAGCAATAAAACTGACAGCCATGTAATTGATATCTAGGTGTAATTATTATTGAATCATTAATAACTCCCGTGGCCTAATTATGCATTATTCTCACAATTTCAATCACTGTCACTATACTAATCGAATTGAGCAGATGGAATCATAAATTCGAATATGTTCACTTAGCGCTGAACACAGAAAAAACAAAGCCAGTGACGACACTTGGGGGTCAGGGAAATCACGATCCCGACGTCGTGTCACGTAATTTTAGTTTCAAGTGATGCTTGAAAATGGCCGAAGCTGAAACGTCGAAAATATTGGAATCTTAGTATCTCACTCATCAAATAAGAAATGAAAACGTTATTCTGAGTTTCGATGTAATCGGAAAGAATACGCGACGTGTTGATAATTCATCTAGCCGCATCAAGTAGGTTGGCTATTGTTGACAGATATGACTTCAGCCATTTACGTTTCCTTTTCATACAGTGCATTTCTTTTATTTTTTGAACGGGTCAACTCAAAAAATTGAAATTTGGAATAATGAAATTATTGCATGAATACTTTAATTTGAAGATAAATTGACAGATGAAACTTTCAATATGGCGACTGGGCGCCATCTGGAAAAAAAATTGAATGGAAAGGAAGGTCTTGTGACACATCATTTTCAATCTCCTTTTGAATACTTCACAACCCTGAAACATAATGTCAATATCTTCAACTACTACAAAATGGCGTAACTTTTAATAATTGCCTGAATACATTGACGTTTAACTACATAATATGAGGTAATAAGCTTGAGGTCAGTTCAGAAGATGCTCGAAATGGTTGCCTTGAACTTTTTGACTTATGAACAGCCTATCCGATATTTCACGCTGAACATTTTTGAATACCAATATTCATTATTCTCTGCCATATATCCAATATTGAAGCAGGTTCAGTTCCGTACACCTTTTTGCCTCGAATAGCCCCATAAAAAAATACAAAGGTGTCAAATCTGGCGAGCGGGCTGGCCATTCTGTAGGACCTAGACGACCAATCCAACGACCGGGAAAAGTAGTATCTACATAGTCTCTTACTTGTCAGGAGTAATGTGGTGGTGCTCCATCTTGTTGGAATACAATATCCGTATTAAATTCATTAGATTTCGCTTCGACGGTTTCAGAGATGAGAGAGTCAACAGTAGTTTCCAGCTTATTCAAATACAGTTCCCCTATTGAATTTTGATCAATAAATAGAAGTCCTACAATATGGTTTCTCAATATTCCTGCTCAAACGTTAAGTTTTTCTGGATATTGGATATGTGTTTCCCGGAAATAGGTAGGTGGAGATAGGTAGGATGCCTTGCAATGGTTTCCATCATGATTTCGCAGAATTCTGTTCTTCGATCTGGGTCATCTTCAGTTAATTAGTGTACCATTTTAATTTTTACTCCGAACTCAAACTTCAACGTTTTCTTTAAAATTTTGAGGTTTTATGTTATTACTATCGATTATTTCCTTTGTGTTATAATTCTTGAATCACATGAAACTCACAGGACATATCTAGGCATCATTTTAAAAATTTTAGTCACTGTCACTGTCCTCATCGAATTGAACTAATCGAAACGAATATTCGAATATCGAATATGATTTGCATAAATGCTTCTACATAAATTTACAAGGTTTGATTTGATATGATGATTATGACAGTGGCTAGACCCTAACTAAGATGAATTTGTGAATCATATCAAACTCACCAATACAATAAACAGATACAAGAGACCAAAATATGGAACGGATTGCCACCCTTCACTGATTCATATAACCTCACGAAAATAAGACAATTAGATAACAATATTCCATCTTAAATATTAACAATTTATATATGCTATTCGTTTATTTATCTCAATAATATTAGGTATGAATCTTGTCTATAACGAAAACCGGAACAGTTATACTGATGTATATATTCTATAATGATAATTCTGATATAATTTTTTCAAAAATGAGGAAACTGGGGAAACAAAATTTGGCAACGAATGAGATTTACTATTAACGACCTTCCATCTCTCAGAAAAGTCGATATAACCACGCCTATGTTTTCAGATACAGTGGCTACAAAGGCGACTACACTCCTCAGAAATCCGATCATCTAGGAATACTGGGCTCAGGGAACTTTGGTGTCATCCCCGGTGGAACTTTCTACAACGACAACGATGGGGACCACTCCAACTACGACAGCTACGATTCCTATCTCCACAACGGACACGGAAGGCCTTCCTTCTACTCCAACCCCAAACCCTACCCTCAGGAGCAGTTTGCCGACTTTAGAGACTTCGCAGACATCAACACGCCATCTGATCGTCAATACTCCCAGTATGTGATCGTTTACGTTCCCAGCAAAAACGGCACGACAACCGAGAAGACCGAAGTAATTAGAAAAACACCCAAAAATATCATGGAAAGTTTGACTATGCTGGATTTGGAACAACCCACTGACGCAGATAATGTTCCCCAGAAAAAGCTCTCTAAGTCAAAGCGGAAACTTGCCTTGCTCAAACCTGAAAAGAAGTACTTGCAAAAGAAGAAGGCTGCTAAAGATCTGGAAGAGCCACTGTTGGCTCTCAGCTAGTTGGTGATAAAAATATAGTCTGCGTGTAATTGTACATGTTTCGAGTAGGTACTGATAGTTTAAGTTGAAGTGAGAAGTTTGTCAACAAACCGAAGACACTTTGTTTTGAGATTGCATTTTTATTGCACGGTTGAGTGACCAGTGGTCGAATTTTCGATTGATATTTCGACTGAAAAAAACAAGCCTTTACATGTTGATGAAATCGGCAGTATTTTTCGACCCTCATACAAATGGAAGTCTGTTTCCTTTCAGATATAATATCCCAAGTAATTGGGAACAATTGATAAAGGAATTATTTGTTCATAGCAGCGTTTTCGAAACAGCAAAAAGGTGTATCAAAATAAATTCATCCTGTATGAAATAAACGACATTTTCAACCATGACCATACCCGCGCAAATGGATGCTGAAGATATAATTGTATAATTAAACTGACTGGAGAGTATAATGTTTTAATTTTCGTAATGGAAAATGATGATTCGTATAATAATATCGATGATGGAATGGAATGCAGTAAGTTGTAAACTAAATAGGATTCAAGCAACTGCCATAAGATAGTGGTTGCTTTGTAATGAAAATACATTCGGGTTAATATTCAATAATATCCACTTCAACAGTGTTACCAACACACCTATGATACATGCTGTTCCACAGAACTACTCGTATTTGAAGATACGCCTGGGTTGCAGAAAATGAAATAAGTAAATAACCATATTCCAGTTTTTCAAAATCCATTAGAATCACTCGTTTTGTCATGACAACCATTTCAAATAAATTATAGTAATGTACCGGTACCGGTAAACCTATTTTCACAGAACTATTAATGTTGATTATGCTTACAAAGAGGAACTTTTTGACGTAATGTGAGATTTTTTTCAACTTCCAGTTTTACCGGAAATCTTATCAACGTTTAATTTTCGAATAGAACACCTTGTATATTATAACATTTTTGAAATCTACACAATTTTTTGAATCCAATGATACCCCATACTTGATACTTTAAGTGTTAAAGTCAACACAACGGATCAACATCATTGTATGGAATAAAACTTAGATACTCATTTTCTCATATTGTGATTCATTTAAGAAACAAAACTTTTTTAAAATACACAAATAAATCATAACAGCTGTTCGAAATGTAGACCGTCAACATCCAGGCATTTTCGAGCTCGTTTCGCGGTATTTTAAATCACACTGGCCAATTGTTGAGGCGTTATATTCTGAATGGCTTATCTTACTCGTACTTCCAGGTCCTCGCGGGTTATTGGAAAAGTTGCGTAGACAATATTTTTCAAGTGAACCCAAATGAAAAAGTCCAACGGGGTTAAGTCGGGTGATCTAGTAGGACACCTAAGAGGTCCATGTGTTCCAATCCATTGCTCCTCAAATCTATCACGAAGGTCCTCCGTCACTATCCTACTATTATGGGGAGGTGCTCCATCATGCCAGATTAAGCGGTAAATCTTTTTAATATTCTTCAATTTCATTACTGAGAAAACCTAGGTATCTATCACCACTCAAAGGACCATCAAATATTATGGGGCCAATTATCCCAACCCCTACTATTCCCAGCCAGACATTGAATCCAAAAAGTTCTTGGAAATTTCCCTGCCGAACCAAATTCTGATTTTCTTGTGCCCAATATCGGGTATTCTGTCTAATAAAGAAATCAAGATTGGTGAATCTTGACTCATCTGAGAATACAATTGTTTTCAAAAACTCATTATTGGGCTGCACTTTATTGTGTATAACCCATCTGCAATATTCCACCCTTCTTACGCTATCGGCGTCATACAGATGTTGGTGAAGTTGATATTTGAAAGATCGATACTTGTGTTTTTTTACAATTCTTCTTACACTTTCACGACTGATATCCAACACAAAAGCCAGCTGCCTAAGAGATACTGTTTTATCGATTTCCAACCTCATGAGGACATTTATTTCCATTTCTTCATATATGATAAAATTTTCATTACCCTCATTATGATCAGGCTAACGTCTGAACTCATTTTCAAGACGCTTGAAATAATTTTTAGCCGGACATTGTCGTGCAGGATATCGCTCCGAGTATAACCGGTGAGCCGCGACTGCATTTTGCCGACATTCCCCATATATCAATAGCATAATCTACTTTATCGTTTCTGTTATACACTTGTGGCATTTTCAACTTATTTCTGTTAGAAATCCGATTGACAACAATGTGTTCAGTAACTAACAAACAATGTCAGTTTATAGAAATGTCAAAAGTTGTTTATAATTCATAACCACCTCATCAACTCACTTTTGTTAAATTGCGAAAATACTTAATAATTTTCATGGCTCTCTAGATCGAAAAATAAACCAAGCGTCTTAACATTCAAAATATCACGTATGGGAGATTCAGAAAATTGTGTAGATTTCAAAACTGTAATAATATATAGGGTGTTCTAGTTGAAAATTAAACGTTGATAAGATTTCCGGAAAAACCGGAAGTTGAAAAAAATCTCAAATTACAGCAAAAAGTGCCTCTTTGTAAGCATAATCAATATCAATAGTTCCGTAAAAATAGGTGAAAGAATAAAGAAAAAAAGGGGAGTACACCATAAGTCTGTGTCACACGGTACTGTAATATCCATTATTACACAAAAGGTATAGTAATGGATATTACTAGAGTTATATCCCAACACCAAACCGTTATTTTCAACCTCTACACGTGTTTCAATTACTAAATGATCATCTTCAAGAGGAATATTTACTCTTCCTTCAATCACCAAGTGATAATTTTCAATCTTTCGCTTGAAGACGATAACTTGGTGATCGAAACACGTATCAAGGTGTTGAAAATAATGACAAATTGAGTGGGCATATTTGGAGACTGGCTGTATATCAAATTATCTGAAAGAACAATTCGTTTAGGCCAGTCTCAAATTACCTACACTGTAGGTTATTGGACTGACCTATCAGAAAACAACTACTCCTTTGGCTAATACAACAAAGGGCGTTGGATTATATCTGACAGGTGACAGTGAAGAATTCTTCACCTAAGTTATTCCTGCTTATGCTGTTGGCGATACAACAGCCAACAGCATATGCTGTTATACGGGGAATTGGGCAAATTTCGTATATGCGGTGGTTACCTCGTTCACAGACAGATGGGGCGACGGCAAACCTGTTGTTTGTTGTTCGCTTCAGCCTAGTTCGAGGAATGATACTCTAAAGGAACTCGATTTTCAATTATCGAAAATCATCGACTTCATGTTGATGCACTACCTTGCACTGACAAGTGGCTAAACAGCCCCAAACTGGTCTGCAAGTGTGTTCCAATAATAGAAAATATATTGCGGTAGTTGAATCGCCAACAGCATATGCAGGAATAACTTCAGTGAAGAATCCTGCACTGACACCTGTCGGATATAATCCGACGCCCTTCGTGGTATCAGCCAGGACATCATCAGACTATCAATATATCAATTGTACTTATGGGTAACTCATAAAAAGCTATCAACCTTGCGTATCTACTGATATCTCTTTCATCATGTATATTTAAAGTAGCTTTCAGCATGGAATAATATGACCACATGGAAGAGGGCTTTACATATTTGGATTTTTCCACAAAATAGGCAAGAAGTACACCTGTTTAGTTCTTATTTTTTACATTACACCCGTTGCACCACCTCACGAATTCTTCATACACTTTCTCGTATATATTCTTGGATTTACTTGGTAATAAACTCAATTTCGCATCCTTAGCTGCTTCACTCATTTTTGGTGGAGTCCATTTCAAAGTCACTAATAAATTATCTGTGATCACAAAAATTGACAGCAAATATGGCTACTATCCTATATAATCTTGTTTCGAAAAATTGACTGAGTTGCCTTGGTAACATTCATTCTATCCCTTCTTGATTGATTGTTTCCGATGTGATATGAATATACAGTCTCATGGCATCCTTGATATATTTCTATCGTGTTCTGGATATAAAGAGATATCTACCTACATGACATTAAATATACCGGTCGTGAATAAAATGTTGCATGTATTTCGGGTCCATAAAAGCCTATTTCATGCCCTTGATACATAAATATCTATAATTGAAAGGTAACATGACAATGGCCGAATTCAACATCTGCAATCATGTGCATGAATCAAAGCAGAAATTGCTATTTCGTCCAACCACTTTTATACAGACTTCATAAAATTTCATTGGAAAGTGAAATTAAGGAGTTATTACTATATTTGTTGAAAATTCTGCAAGATGAATCGAATGAGAGAAAACCCACACCGATTCTAATATAAACACGAATTTGAACGACGCTGGATAAGCTTAAGAAACTTGGTCGAGGTTCTTCAGATGAGAAAACTCTA